GACCTCTCCCATGCCTTGTGTTTGTTCTCTCTTCTCCAGTTGGGTCTTCCAGTGTGATCCTACTCACAAATCTTCCCAATGGCCAACCAAAAAAGACAGGATCTAATATGTGGCCTACCTTTCTAATTTCCCTAGTCCCTGGATTCCATCTTCTGTTCCTACATTAGCGATAACGTCCTATTCTCCTTGTTCAAATCTCAGCTATGTACTCAATTCTTGTTGCTTGTTTGCACTGAAGTCTTTGGATAGGCTCTGACACGCCCGACATGAGATAACCCACAGGGGAGGCCTGCAGATATCAACCAGGTTGTAGAGCCGGCCTCATATACCTGTGACTAGGGTCTGGGAAGCCTTACCTTGTAGGAATGGTTGTCTAAAGACCTGCAAACCCTCCCTGGAAACACATGCTAGGATATGTCTTCTTCTTCTTGTGGCCTTCTATTAAAATGCAAACGATCTATTAAGGAATCCATTAAATCACTGACATATTGTGGATTTTTTTCTGGTAGCATAGAGGAATTTAAGGTAAACACACGTGGTGTACCACGTAGAAGAGGAGCCACTCTGATTTTAAGAACAGAACAAAGATAATAAGATCTGTAACACTGCAGTTGACTGGAAAAGTACGTACCTAGTAAATGTGAAAATCACTTTAGGAGATAGTATCTTCTATAGCTATGAAGTGATTTATGTCAGAACACAGGGGAGGAGAATGGAAAAAAAATATAGGAGTCATGGCTTCTAGGTTTTCTTGGACAGAGATTGGGAAATCATTTTTTAAAAGGCCGTCCTTGGCAACAATGGGCACTCGGACCTAAAAAATAGTATGTTTACTAGGAAGATGCTGTCAGAAAATTTATCATTAGAGAAAAGCCCAAAGTTTCCTTTGGTATACTTGTAGCTAACGGTGGTTCGAGGGTAAAATTATGTAAAATATTATTCATCACAACAGTGCCACCATGTGGGCTACTCTCTTTTTCACCCCAGGGAGGAGGGGCTATGTCATAGAAAAAGAAGTTTCCAGAACCTCTAAGTAAAAGTTCACATATTTTTAAACATAGAAATGGATCGTCTTTGCTTTCAGTGATGTCACCACTTTATAAAAAGTCTTTAAAACGCGGCAGGAATCCTGGAACGGGTGGCACTACATTTCTACCTCCACGCATCAGTTATAACATCTGTGATTTGGGTCTAATACGAAGCAAAACCGTTCCCTTCTTAGGTTAAGGTTATCCTGCTAGGATTAAAGTAAGTCTGTGATTTCCTTCCCAGCTTTTTCACATCTTACAGGGTAATCAACCAAACATCCAAAGAGGTTGTTGGAGTTTCAACAAAAAAACAAAACAACTCCAAAATTAGCCTTTAATTCACATGAGCCACATCTGTGCCATAAATCACTTGAGAGGTCCTATTTTATTAAAACATGGAAGCTGCATTTTATTTTTTTATTTTTTTATTTTTTTTATTTTTTTTTTTGGTGGAAGCTGCATTTTAAAGAACTTTCAGCATGCACACAATTTCAAGTAATAGTCAACCAACGTACATATACAACTAAACAGTGTTTTTTTTTTTAAAGAAAATAAGCAAATACGATATCCTCCTCCTTTATTCCAATGTGATGCTGTGCCTTTATGGTGAAAACGTTTAAGCTACAGAAAGCTCTAATCCCTTACTAATGTGAAAACATCTTCTGTACAAGCAACACTGTATACAACGTACCATGAAGTACAGAAATGAGAACCTAATAACAAAATATCAGTGAACACCACACATAATGAAGACCATGACAATGAATGACCAACTTGTTTCGGTTGGAAAGAATGGGGAAAATTAAGAATTTCATGGAAATGTCACTTGGAAAATAAGACCCCGATGAAATGACCAGTTTTTTTCATTGGGTTCAGGAGTTCATCAATCCTTTCCTCCACCTTTATGTCACTTCCGTGAAGTTTTTTTTTTTTTTTTATTCATGGGGAGAATAGCAAAAATTGATTGTAGGGATTTTTAAGTTTACTTTTTCTTTTTATTGTATTATGTAAGCTACTTGAAATACTTGCTGTGTTAGCTAAAATGTAAATATGTAAATATATGAAATAAAAAGATTAACACTTTTAAAAGTATCCTTCTTCTGGTAAGGAAGAGATAATCAAGTTTACTTAACCAAACCATCAAGTACATTTCTTTAAAAAAAAAAAAAAAAAACATAAAATCTCAGTCGAGAAGCATTTCTACCACCTGAGTGACACAGGCACATTAGTGCTTCCTGGTCTTAATCTCAAATGGCCACCATCCATCCTTTCAAATCTACAAACGATAAAAGTTTGATATTTGAGAAGAGCCATCTCTTAACAGGACAGATGTGACAACAAAAATGACACAGGTAATGGAAAACAAGAAAAACTCAAGAAGATAAACATTAGGAAAAAAATTCAGATTAACATGATGCCTTCCCTAAAAAGCAAGTTCATTAACACTAAGCCTGTGTTTTTCACAGAATAATTCTTGAGCTAGAGAATTGGAATCACCCATGGCGTTAAACATGCAGCTAATTGGATCCTCTTGAACAAATTTCTCATGTGTCTGGGGTCCTAAATCTCCATTTTTATGCATTCTTAGGCACTAAAATTGAACAAAAACTGTCTTCCACCCTAAGACTAAGGGGTTTATTTGGGCAAAGGAGGGCTGTTTAGTTTCCTGGGATTCCCAATCCTTTTTAAAGCATTTATCAAGCAAGGAGTCTGACCTTTGAGATAACCTGCTGGTGCAGATCTAAGATAAGGCTGATTCCTGCTGATAATCCGACCTCTACACACACACACACACACACACACACACACACACACACACACACACACACCCTCAGATTTCAGCTTTATTCCACCGCATCTGCCCTGCCCCAATTCTACTTAAGTACGCCCCATACTCCTAGCTTAGTCTGTCTCCCACTCCCACTGTATTGGGGTCTCCCCTCACGGCCCCCCTACACACCTGGCTCAGAAGGGAACTGCTGAGCACCCAACAACTGCACACAGTTTACTGCTGGGGGGTTTAACAAGTTCAGTTCAGGGCAACCCCAGCTCAGTGCTGCCCTGCGAAAAGGAACAGGTGAGGGACGGAGCTTATTGCACAGAAGAGATTTAGGTTCAGATTGGGAGGCACCAGTGCAGAGGAGCAGAGGAGGAGGAAAGGAAGCGCAGAGGAAGACACTCCAGATTCCACTAGTTGCAGCTTCCCTGAAGGATTCGCAGTAGTGAAGAGGCGGCCCTGTGGCCTGGGGCTGGGTCCTGGACCTGGTCTCTCTCTGCAGGACAGACATCCTGGCATCTACAGCACCCGTGTGTCAGGAAGTAAACGAACCCATGCAACAGCCCTCTATTCCCACAAACCAGGGCAGAAATGAGATGGAACAGCAGTCTTCCTACAGATGGGGCATTGCAAGTTGGGAAAGCTCACTGTTCATTTAGTTCCCTGATTACCATATGCAGCTACGAAATCCCACTGATTCTCAGTAAAGTTAACTTACCTCTCTGCTTTCCTCTATGCATCCCTATTCTTGATACCTACATTTTGATATTGATTTTTTTAAATGTTCCCCACAGTCCAAAAATATTGCTTGGCCAAAAAAAAAAAAAAAAAAAAAAAAACAAAGGGCTGTTTCTATCATCTCCTGCAATTTCTGTCATTACTGAACATGCAACCAGAGGGATCAATTACACACACCACATCCCAAATCTTACCATGCTGAACTGTGCACCCCAGATACTGCATGCATCAGTCTTACCCTCCAAATTACCTCTTTTAACTGAAAAAAAAAAAAAAAAAAAAACAAGATGAGGTATTTAAATAAAAAACTTCAGGCAAGGCTGGCAACAGCCAAGTGTCTCATCATTCCTGCAGACTGTAAAAGTGTCGTCCCCCGGGGCTTTGTTACGGGGGCAGCACCTGGGAGAGGGAGCTGGGGAAGGAAGGAGGCAAGGAGGGAGGCGGGGGGGGGGGGGGGGGGGGGAGGCAGGCAGGCAGGCAACCTGGCCACAACGCCCTTGACACCTGGCACTTTAAGAACAGGAGAGCCCCTTCCCCAGTTTACAGCTGCTACAGCAAGCCAAGTCTCCGTGCTTTATATCTGGACATTACGGAAACTTGCATGGGGTAAACTTTTCTTTTTTGGGGGGGGGGGAATGAAGGTGATTTCCGAGCTGGATTGCAGTTGTACATGACACTGGCATTTCTTTCCCATGATTCTTGCCCACAGGAAACACATCCTTTAAGAAACTGAATAAAATCGAGTTGAACCTTCTCACAACCTGCAAGCCACCAACTTCCCGGGGACCCCCCCCCCCGCCCGCCAGCAGCTCCAAAGGCCAGCTGCGGGGCACGGAGGCGGGGAGCGGCGGAGGGCCATCCACCCTGGGAGCGCGGTGAACCGGCGCCCCAGCCCGAGCCCGAGCCCGAGCCCGAGCCCCAGCCCGAGCCCCAGCCCCAGCCCCAGCCCCAGCCCCAGCCCGAGCCGAGCCGGCCGCGGGAGGGACAGGGCGCGGCAGGAGGGGAGCGCGGGCAGCCCGGGCTCCCGCACAGCCGGCGCCCCGTGCAGCCCACCCGCGCGCAGGGCGCCCGGTCCCAGCCCCTCGCCTACCTCCGGGATCCAGCCGCCGCCGCCGCCGCCGGCTTCCTCCCGTGGCTCCTCCGCAGCCGCGGACGCGCGGACCCCGAACGGCGGGAGCCTGGGTCCCGCAGGGCGCCCGAGCCCAGCGCTCGCCGCGGGCGGCCACCCAGGACGAGGCGGGGATGCGATCCGGGGCGCACCCGGAGGGTCCCCGGAAGGCTCGGGCGCGCGTCCCAGCCGCCGGCAGCGGCTCCTGCGCCGGCACGAGGGTCACCGAGGGGCCCGGCGGCAGCTCCGCGCCTCCGCCGCTCCCGGAGGCCCGGCCGAGACCGCGCGGGGGAGGCGAGCCAGGGATGCGACGCGCAGCTTTTTCCGGTAAAAGGAAGGGAAAACTTTGATGTTGGAGCGGCACGCGGGGCACGGCGGGCAGCAGAACAAGTTGCAGGTGCCGCGGGGAGGGCAGCTCCCGGGGGGAAGGGCGGCCGTCCCCGCAGCCGCGGGGGGCGGGGGATGCTCAGGCTCCCGGAGCGATGCCCGAGCGCCCCTGGTCCGCGGTGGCCCCGGAGTCCCCCGGAAAAGCGCCGCGTCTCCCGGGATGCGCGCAGCCCCCGCGCCTCCCTCCCGCTGGAGAGCGAGCCTGGCGGGGGCCGGGCGCCAGGAAGCCTGCGCGCGGGGAGGCGGGGAGGGGAGGGGAGGGGGGCCCAGCCCGGCGCGCCTCCCTCCGCGCCGAGAAACTGCTCCGAAGTGCGCGGCTGCTGCGCGGGGCCGGGCCGAGCCGAGCGGGGACCGCCGGGGAGGGCGCGCGGGGGGCGGGCTGCGCGCGCCGGGAAAGGGGCCGCCCGCCTCCGGGGCCGAGCGCGGCGCAGGTCGGCCCCCGAGCCCCGCGTCCGAGTCGGGGCGCCGCCGGCCCCGTGCTGGGGGCGCGCTCAGCGAACAGGACGCGGCCGCGCTGCGTGGACCGGGGGACCGGGCGCCCCGACCTCGCTCTTCAGCGCAGCCTCGCTGCCGCCCCGCCGGCCTCGGAGGCCTCATTCCCCGTCATTCTGCAAAGTTAGTTGGGATCCACGGGGCGCGGGGAGGGCGGGGGGAGGACACTCTCCCGTCTGGAACCCCCAATCCGGATCGTGCCAAACCCTCCCCTGGCCCGACCCGAGGCCTCCCACTCGGAGCGCGGGGAGATGAAGCCCCGGGAAGCGTCCCCAGGGTGCTGGCGGCCAGTCTCAGACGCTGCTCACGCTCACCCCCCCCCCCCCGGGAGCCCCCGGGCCTTTGCACGAGCAGCCTCTCCCAGGGCCCCGCGTTAGCACAAGCGGCGTGCAGCAGGGTTTGCCTTCCTCCCAGGCCGGTGGCGAGGAATTCGTTCAGACTCGCAGAGGAGGGCAGAGGGAGTTTGTGCTGGCTCCTGGGTGAAGACGCGCGGGTCCCTGCCCCGCGGGCGCTCCCACGGGCGCCGCGGCACTCAGACGTCGGCGGCGTGTTTGCAAGTAAGGAGGAAGATGCAGCGGAGGTGGAGACAGGATTCCGAAAACGGGGGGCTGGGTGGCCTTTCCGCGGCCCCTTCTGCACGCTCCTTCCGGACCAGGACACGCAAAGGGAGCACTTCGGGGCGGTCCCGGCCCTGCGCGGGGCACCCGGACACCTGCAGGTGCAGCGCAGTGAGGAACGGGGAGCAGCACGGGGGCCCCCCGGGAAAGGGGAGCCCGCGGCTGTGCCGGGCCAGGACCCCCGCGCCCCCAGCCGGGTGCGGCCCCGGCCTTCCCAGGGCCCCCTCCGCGGGAGCACGGAGGCGGAAAACGCAAACTCGGCGGGAGAGCGGCAGCTCGCGGTCCGCTCCGGTTGCGCGCGGCGGGCCTCCCTCTAGCGGCCGCGCCCGGGAATCGCGCGGGGGGCGGCGGGCGGGGCGGGGGCCGTGCGCGCCTGTGTGCGCGCCCGTGAGCGCGAGCGTGTGTGCGTGCCCGGGAGCGAGCGGGAGGGGGTCCCCGGGAGCGCTCCTCCTCCCGGCGGCGGCCGTGCGCCCGCGGGGTCCCAGCAGCTGCTGCGGCGCGTCACCCTCAGGCGCTGCCAACTTCACCAATTGGCCTCAGCGCCCGCGTGTGTGCTCCCGGGGCTGGGGGGCGCACGGCGGGGGGGGGGGGCGGGGGGAAAACATCAGTAACGCACACCGCTCATTTTTTTCCTGCAAATAAACAGGCTCCGCGTGCACATTCCCAGGCAGTCCGTGTTGCGTCGACCCCTACGCCGTGCGCTCCCGCCGGGGGCTCGGTCTTCCCAACGTCGCCCTCCCTCCGGCTGCTTCTGGGGTGCGGGAGGGGCTGGTCACGGAGCCGGGAAGTGGCCGCAGCCCGGCTGTCCCCAGGGTCCTCTCCACGGTCTGCGGGCCGGCTGCGCGTCCGGTGACCTCAGGCGTCACCGCGGTGCCGGGACGGGCGAGCATCGTCAGGCTCCAGGCTCATTCTCGACGCAGAGTCAGGGTGCGGGCAGGAGAGGACAGGGGCACCCCCGGGTGGGGACGCCGCCGGCGCAGCCTGAGCAACGGGGAAGGCACCCCGACTCCGGGGGGACCCGCGCCCTCCGCAAGGTGGACGGAGAAGGCGCCCCAGGCCGAGCGGACCCCGCGCGCGCCCGCTGAGCCGCCCCGCCCCGCCCCGCCCGCAGCGTCTGCGCGCCCAGTGCCCGCGGCGGCCTCCGCGCACCGCCTCCCGGGGACCCAGACCAGCGCGGCCTGCGCGGGAGGACGGGGCTCGGGGCCGTGGGCAGGCGCACCGAGCTCCTCCCGCGGGCCGAGAGAGGGCGCCAGGCGAGCGGGGCTCCGGGGAGGGCGCGCCCGAGGGCACCGGGGAGGGCACACGGTCAGCGGGGACCCGGGGAGGGCGCACCCCGGGAGGGCACCCCCACTGTCGGGGATAAGCCAGGGAACTGTGGCCGGGGCGCCCCCCACCCCGCAGGCCCCAGCGGCTGGCGCAGAGGAGGAGCGCCTGGTGAACCCCGAGCTGGCACACCGTGGTGTGTGGTGTGTCCTCCTGAATTCCCCTCCAGGGGGGGCCCTGGGGGTCCCTGTGAGCTTCTGTGCTCCTGCTACTTCCTTTGAATGGGACTCGGCTTCACCTGCACCCCAGCCCTGGTAGCAGGAGACCTTAGGAGGGTGGCACAGACAGGGGGCACTAATTTGTCAAGTGGGACTATAGTTTCCAAAAGTGCGAGGAAGCAAACTTCTTGAATATGCCCCAACTTTCTCTGAATGTGCTTGTCATCCTAGCAAAGCTGCCCTCACTGCCTTTTTGTTTCTCAGATTTGACAAGTCACAGACACGGATTTGTGGCCTCAGAATTGTTTTTGCTTCTGTAAGCTCATCAACACATTTTATTTATTTATTTTTGTCCTAAAATAGTGAAAACAGCTTGGTGGGATACAGAGAAAAGTTACATATAAATATAACCTAATTAGATTAAATTGGCATAATAGTAAGCAATATTGAGTTTCCACTTATGATAGCCTACTTTTGTGAAAATTTATTTTTTTTAAGATTTTATTTATTTATTTATTCATGAGAGACAACGAGAGAGAGAGAGGCAGAGACACAGGCAGAAGGAGAAGCAGGCTCCATGCAGGGAGCCCAACCTGGGACTCGATTCCGGGTCTCCAGGATCATGCCCTGGGGCTGAAGGCGGCGCTAAACCTCTGAGCCACCTGGGCTGCCCTACTTTTGTGAAAATTTAAAAAAACAAATCATTTCCTTAGCTTTAGGAAGAGCTCACCTGTAACATTAAAACAGAAATACTATTTTTAAAATACCATTCAGTTAAAAGTACATTTTGTGTGTATTGACATTCTTATAGATTGAATTATAACTTAGTGATCCAGATCAAAACTTCTAAAAATAAATCTCAGATCATTGGAGAGATGGCAAGGAATCTGGTATTTTTAAGTGTAGTAAAAAACACATTCCATAAAATTTACCATCTTAACCGCTTTTAAGCATGCAGTTGAGTTGAGAAGTACTAAGTTTTATGTATATAAACAGGACACCAGCACTTTTCCATCTTGCAAAACCAAAAGTCTGTACCCATTAAGCAATTTCCTCTCTCCCACCCTCTCTCTCCTTCTCTTTTTTCGGAGGCGTTGGAAAGGTCATCATCTGCAAGCAGGGAAGATGGTTCTCACTGCTCCCCAAGCCAGCTGCCCCCCCTGCATCTTGGGTGTCTCAAGCCTCAGTTTTGTGTAACAGGTTTCCGGTGTTTAAGCCACTCAGCCTATGGTATTTTGTTGTGGCAGCCTGAGCAGACTAATACATATGCTGATTCTATTTTTGTTTTTTTATTAGGAAGCACCATACAGTTTTCTTTCTTCTTTTCTTTTTTTTTTAATGATAAATTTATTTTTTATTGGTGTTCAATTTGCCAGCATACAGAATAACACCCAGTGCTCATCCCGTCAAGTGCCCCAGCAGCTGGTACCATTTTACATTCCCACCAGGAGGGCACAAGGGCTCTGATTTCTCCATATCCTCCCCATCCCTTGTTACCTTCTGTCGTATTGATAATAGCCATTGTATAGGGTATGGGGTAATATCTCATCGTGGCTTTGACTTGCCCTTCTCTAATGGTGAATGTTTTGGGGCATCTTTCCATATACTCATAAATGAACAGATAAATGCCTGTTCAAGTCTTTTGCCCATTTTTAAAATCTGATTGGTTGTTTTTTGTTGTTGTTGAGTTGTTAGAGTTCTCTTTATATTCTAGATCAAGCCCTTATCAGGTATATGATTTGCAAAAATTCTTTCCATTCCAGAGGTTTCCCTTTCACTCTCTTTATTGTGTCTTTTGATATACAAAAGAAATTTTAAGTTTGACATGCGTGTACCTTTATATCAAACTATATCTTGTCTCAATAGCTTTCATATTTTGGAAATTCACATGTTACCACTTAAACTCCTTAAAATATGAACTTTGCTGATAAGTCATGAGTTCTTCCTTCTCCATAATAATATGAAAATTATTCTCTCAAGCTGTTCTATATTTTACTTTATTTGTTTATTTTTTGCTGTTCTATATTTTAAAACAGTGTTTGGTTGTGGCTTATTTTACTTATTACTGAACCGTCAATGGTAATGATCTCATACTTTTTAAAATGTTTTGAAAGTTTAATGTACTTCACATGTTAGGGAAAAAGTAATATATTTGTATAATGAGAGATCTGATTGTTTTTAAAGTTACTGTAAAATATTCTATATATAAGTGAAATATTTGTATTTATTTATTTTTACTGTAATGAAAACTTCAACTAATTCAGCCTTTCTTTAAAAAAAGAATGGTCCATTTGATAAAAATATAATGATTACACTTTATGTGTGTTGAATTATAGGCCTAGTTATGCTTCCAGTAGATCATTCTTTTGCATTCATATATAAGGTTCATATTTTAACGCTTCTAATCCATGTAGAACTAAGATGTTCTCAACTGGACAACCTTGTGCTCCCTCTCTAAAGTAATTCTTGTAATCACTAATTTTATATTTTGTTTCAAAATTAGATAATCTGAACCCATGAATCATGATAATAGAAGTACACACGTGTATTTGACACAACTGAATTATAATAGAGATAAAAATTTGCTTATCCATTAATTTAAGCCCTAAAGTCTTATGTAATTCTAGGAGGAATTAATATGAATTCAATTCATATTAAATATAAAACAGTTTAATTTACTAGTTTCTATTTAGGAGATCCAACTGAGCTTTGATTGGAGTATTAAACTACATTTATAGGTTTATGTGTTTAAGATAAGTTTGGATTACATCTTGTTTGAGACTTTGCATTCCAGAATTTTAAAAAATACAGAGATCTTCGCTTATATGTTAACCTATGTGTTTAGTCTCCTAATTAATGTCAAGTTTTTCAGGAACATCTTTAGACTGTGAACAGCACAGTCTGACTCTTCTGGTGAGAAATGAAACAGGAAGGTCTATGAGCAGCCAGTTTTTTGTAAATGGCACTTTTAAAATTCTTCTGTAGGAATTCACATGTTATCTTTCTTTTTTTCCCTGGTTAGAGATGTAACCTGTTTTCTTTTTGGACAGCCATCATGGATTTACTATCTCCAGCAAAGCCCAGAATATTCTTAGAGAAACCAAAATGTTATGCCAACTGAAATAGATGCCATTACTAGAGCTAAATATAATCAAGAGGAATCATTATTGCAAATCATATTGACAGCAATAGCCATCTTAGAGATGATTAAAAAGATATTGAATAAAACACTAGATGTAGAGACTGTTTTCAATAAGTATAATGTGCAAATGGAACATTACAAGAAAGTTACCTTCGGACACACATTGCATACCTAGGAGAGCTCCTTCAGTAGCAGTGAGGTCTATTAAACTCGAGGGAAAATAATTTATTATTTATCAACAAATGTCTCATAACAAAATCTGCTACCTCTTCTTTGTAGCTACTGGATAAAATTATGTTTAGTTCAATAAAACAGTCCTTGCTCCATATGTGCAGCCATTCTCCTATTTGTTATTGTCGTAACATCCCAACATTATGTATCCTGCAGTTGTTTTACATATAGATTATGTGGACAAATTACTGTTGCAGTCCAGCTTCTACCCAGGACTGATAAAATCACTTTAGGAAGAGCCACTGGGAAAATCAAACTTAGGATTTTCTCAGGTGCTTGAGAAGCAAACTACCTTTGATTCTAATTTAAAAATTCATATGGGAAAAAATAAAAAAAATAAAAAATAAAAATTCATATGGGGCATTAGCTAAATAACCAAGGTCATTAGGAGAAAAAAAAGGCTTAAAAATTGAAGAGACAATAATAACCTAAATAAACCTATCTTACAGAAGCTGTATTTCAAATACACAATAGATGGTAAATTTGGTCAATAATTCTAGCATTAAGTTTTACAAGGAAAGAAATGTTTTTCTCCTTTCTCTTTTCCTTTTGCCTAAAAATATTGTCCTATAGAATACAATGAGAGCGGGACGCCTGGGTGGCTCAGTGGTTAAGTGTCTGCCTTCAGCCCAGGGTGTGATCCTGAAGTCCCAGGATCGAGTCCCACATCGGGCTCCCTGCATGGAGCCTGCTTTTCCCTCTGCCTGTGTCTCTGCCTCTCTCTCTCTCTCTCTCTCTGTGTGTGTGTCTCTCATGAATAAATAAATAAAATCTTTTTTTTTAAAGAATTCAATAAGAGCAAGCCATTAGAAATCAGACACAATACATGTGTTCACAAGTAAATTCATTTTAAATATTTCTTGGCTGTTTAAAATATGTATTTCCTATAAATCTCATCTCTTACAATAATTTTTAAAAAGTATCTTGACAAACCGAATATGTTCTTGAATACTTGAGCAGCTTGTGTTAATTTTTTTTTTCTGCCGCCTTCAGTGACTGTCACAGAAAACAGATGCAAATAGCATCTGCTTCCATGACAGATGCCAAGGTGGTGTTGGCATCCTCGAGATGTCCACAGGGTCTGTCTGGGCAGTGATTACATTCTGTGGGCTCATCCATGCTATTAACTCTGCAGTAACAGAAATACTGTTAAATAATCTAATGGTTTTATGATGATCAGTTTGTCTACTGTACTAAACTGCAAAAACGACGTTAATGACAAACTTCTCCAAATGATATTGAAGCATTTCCCAAGTACCTTGACACTGACTATAGCTAATTAGCAAATAATAAAAATTCAGGAAGAATAGATAAAAACATGCATACTTTAAAGGATTCCTTCCTTCTTTCCTTCCTTCCTTTCTCTTTCTTTCATTCTTTCTTTCTTTCTTTCTTTCTTTCTTTCTTTCTTTCTTTCTTTCTTTCTTTCCACGAAGTTTATGGTAATTTGTCCCAGAAGCAATAGGAAGGCACTACAATGATCCAAGTCTCTCTGTATTAGGGCTCTCACTATTAATGTCTACACATTTTAGCCAATGACCATCTTTTTGGTGAGAGGAGGATAGTTATCTATAAAGACCAGATGAATTATTTGCAGATAAAAGAATCAAGGGGAGGTTTGAGACTGATTCTATTTCTCCCACCCTAATGCACACACATACATTTTGCAGAGGATATAGGTCAAGAGTGGACTTATACATATCCTTTGTGGTCACTGCACATAGGAA